ATATATAACACACACATATATAAAAATATATACACAAACACACACACATTTATATACATATATATATATATATATATATATATATATATATATATATATATATATATATATATATATATATATATATATATATCTATATATATATCTATATATATATATATATATATATATATATAGATATATATATATATATATATATATATATATATATATACAAACACACACATATATAAAAATATATACACAACACACACACATATTTATATATAAGTATATATATATATATAAAAAAAAAAAAAATATATATATATATATATATATATATATATATATATATATATATATATATATATATATATATATATATATATATATATATATATATATATATATGTATATATATATGTATATATATATATATATATATATATATATATATATATATATATATATATATATATATATATATATATATATATATATATATATATATATATATATATATATATATTCTGTCTTATTACCCATTTTTTCGACTGTATCTCTTCGAAATGTGCGCAAAGTATGAAAAAGACAAATTTAAAGAGAAGCATTAGGAATTTTCTCACTAATAACTTCTCTTCACCATATCTTTGTCTGTCATGACAGCTTAAATACCACTGGTATTGTTGTGCTTTTTAAGTATGTCTGTCAATTTTTCTATATTTGCTCTTACCTAATTAGCAACAATTCAGAGTGCAACAATTATTCCTTCACCATTTCCATCAACACACATTAAAACATTAAGAGGCGTACGCAAGTTGTTAAGCTTGTATGTTGCATCAAGGAAAAGTAGTTCAGGATAGTATGAAAATAATTTATCATCTCCTTTTACTAATAGTACTATGCCTGTAGTTGAATATCATCATTTACAACAACCTCTGTCACAGAATCCTTTTGCTTTATCATCTCACTTAACAGAGTTGTTAAATTACTATCATTTTGGTTTTTAAGAAATTTATTTGCATTTTGAATATCTTTTAGGGTAACAAATTTACTAGTAGATTTCATCATATGTTGCTGTATCAACTTTTTGTTAGCTTTTACATCAAGCATATGAGCCATATCACCTTTTTCATCTATGTCCAATCGACGCTGATGCGGAAGGTGCATAAATGATTCCTGCAACAAAGCATTTTAATCGCATTTATTTTGTCAAAAGAATTTCCAAAAACATTAAGGTGAGTTTCCATACATCCGTTTTTTCAGGGGAACGAGAAAGGGAATATAATCATGTGGGCATGCCTATTATAAGTTTTAATTTGTCCGAAGTAAAACTACGCACGCTCACATGATTATTTTTTCCTTCCCTTTCCCGTTTCCGTGAAAACCGGATGAGTGGAAACTCACCTTTATACCAATATTTTATATAATTATGATAGTAATTACCTTCGTGACACAGTGAGAGTGCTTTTTAATAGTTTTAACAATTTGAAGTTTTTTTCCATCGTCACTTAACTGGAATTTAATGCAAGCTTTGCAGTTTTGTTGAAATGTTCTGTGAAGCAAACAGCTTTAACTTGTTTTTAACCCATAACTTAGCAGCATACAAAAAAAATACTAAATTTAAAATAAAACTATTTTTTGAGAGACACAAAAATCTTATAATGATATATGTTATACAACATATGTTACAGATTATGCAGTGTTATAAAGTATTTTAATTACTAGTGTTTTAAATACTTACTTTAAACACTTTTGAAATACTTGTATTTTGTATTATAAATACTTTTTTAATCAAGTTTTGTATTTGTATTTAAAATACAATTTTGGATGCATTTTAGATGCATTTTGCATTTTCAGTGTTTTTCAAAATACTTTTAAACTTTTTTATTTAATATTTTTTCAGCTGATTATATTTATAGGCATATTGATAATATATAAAGAAAAATGGATTCAGAAGATAATAATACAGATTCAGTTTCTAGCGAGAATCAGCCATCTGACCCTGGAAATTAAAAGTTTAAAATCAAGTTCATCAAATGAAGAAGATACATATTAAGTGGAGATAGTTGATGTTGACACCATTTTGACAAATGAGCATGAACAAACAAATAACAACAAGCACTTGCTAAAGCACATGAGATGGGCTAGTCATACTCTGAACCCGTTTGCTATATGTTACATTTTAAATATTGATTAAAAATCAGTAGATTGATTAAATATAAGTAGGTTTTGTCATAAGATACACATTGTTTGCGATTTTTATAATAGGAACAAAATCATTTTAAACTATTATTTTTGATTCCATAAGTTTAAAGTTTGTAAAGAAGAATATCAAGGTCCACAGTATCATAGGCTTTAGAGAGGTCAATAAACACTCTTAGAGTATATTGGTTGTTTTGAAACCCATTTAATATTTCTTTAAATAATTTAAATACTGCTAACGCTCTGTCGAGTGTACTTTTCTAAATCCGTACTGATTATTATTTAAAACGTTGTGAGATAATTGTAAAGCATTATTCGCTCTAGAATTTTAGAAAAACATGGGAGTATTGAAATAGGTCTGTAGTTACATAACTTTGAGATTTCACCATCCTTAAATATTGGAACTACTTTTGCTTGTTTCAAGAGATCAAGAAAAACGCCATTTTTAAATGAAAGATTAAAAATAAAAAGTAAGGGGTTCTCAATAACATCAAAAACTTCTTTAACAACCTTAGGGCTTATACCATTAAGCCTTCACTTTTGTTTGGTTTTATCATATTAAAAGCAAACCTAAGTTCATCAGGCGATACCTTGAGCTCATCCAAAACATAGTCTTTATCTTTAAGATATGAAAAATTTTTTTCCTGGTGTTATTTTGTTTGCTAGGTTTTTACCCACTTTTATAAAAAAGTTATTAAAACTGTTTGCAATATCTTTTTTCTCATTAGTTATTGTTCTTTTATCCTCAGTATATAAATATTTCGGTAAATAATTACCACGAGTTTTCTTTTCTTTTCCTATCACTTCTTTTATTATATCCCAAGTTTTTTTGTTATTTTTAAAATTATTTTGTAATTAAGTTTACAAATAATTTTTTTTCGCTTTTTTTTTCAAGTTTCCAAACAGGTTTTTGTAAGTTTTATATTTTTTTTGTTTTGATCAGTTTTTTTTTAAACAAAAATTTCATAGAGTTTTTGTTTTTTTTTATAAGATTTAATATGTACTTATGTAATCCATGGACTGTAGGCTTTTAAGCTTGCTTTTAGTTTCCTTCATCGGAAAGGCTTTGTCGTAAGCATTAAGAAACTCTTTGTAAAAAAATGCATAAGCTTTATATCTTTACAATTATGTAGTTGTTTCCAGATTACTTTGAGTAAATAATTTCTAAATTCCTTAATATTAAATTCAGTAATTTGCCTTTTTATATCCGTTAGTACTTTGCTTTACTTTTCTTTTGTATAAAAGTCAGATACAAAAAAAATTGGAAAGTGGTCGCTTTTATCGCTTTTTATGATACTGCTTTAAATGTTGTATGTTGTGAAAATGTTGATAAAAATATTATCAATGAGAGATTCAGTTAGAAGAGTTACACGAGTAGGCTTACTTATTAAGGGAAGAATGTTGTTTTAAAAAAGAGAACTTAAGAAATGTTTTACATCGTTATGAGTTTTAACATTAAGAAGATTAAATCCCCCGTTTTGTAAATTTTTTTTTTACTTTTTTAAAATACTATTTTAAGTGTTTTTGAAAAGATTTTTTATTTCCGCATGGTGGCCTATACAAAGAAGTTACTAAAACGTTTTTTTTCATTGTTAGCCTCAAACTTGTTAAAGTTGCTCCCTCCCTTCCTTTTTTTACCAGCAGCCTTTTTTAATTTTAGTTCCTTTATAATTTTCTTTTGCTGCTTGTCCTTTAAAAAATTTTCGTGGGAGAATTAGTGATAATAGTCGAAAGTTTCTTTCTTAGACTTTCTCTGGTTTTTCTTTTTGGCAAATTAGGTACAGAAACAACATTTAAAAGAAATATTGGCTGATTTGATCTAATGGAGACCAGTTCAGGGGCTACACTCACATCAGGTGACAGACCTACACTATAAGGATTCAATGAAAAATTAATTAACACGTCAGATGATTTGGCTTAAGTGTCTGATTGATTCCTTGGGTTTACCTGGTTATCATAAATTTTGTGTTTACCTGATTATCATAAATTTTGTGTTTACCTGGTTATCATAAATGTTATCATAAATTTTTAAAAGAGTAAGGAAATATTTTGAACTTGTTGTGATTATTTTAGAAATTAAACAGTATATTTTCGTTCATTTTATTATTTGTAAACAAAAGAGAATTGTATCAAATTTTGACAAAAAAGTAATTTTAGTTTCAAATACACAAAAATATTTTTAGACATACAACTAACTTCATGCTTACAGGTGTAAGCATGAAATTATTTGTACCATAGTAATTTTGTATTTTCTTAATTAATATAAACTTTACATTATTTTTTTGATTTTTTCGGAAGTTGTGATATGTAGCAGATTGAATAAGTATTTTGACACACTTAAACGACAAAGTGTTCAGTCTATTTGACCTTTGACTGTTCTCAAACGATTCACAAAATGTTTTTTTTTTATTCTGCACTTACATACATATTATCATATGTAAGTAAGTGCAGAATAAAGATACATATCATATTTTTAGTTAGTTAATGCTGCTAAATCTTCAGTATAACACTATTAAGAAGACTACAAGGAGTTCAGTAAATTATGTTTGCTGTATCCTAATCCAGAAAACAGCTTTTTTCCTGGACTTTTTACAGTTTGTTTGCTGTATCCCAATTCAGAAAACAAAGTTTTCTTATAACCAGTCTAAGAAAGTTTCTTTTTCTTGGACTGGGTACAGTTCACTAATATTGATGGATGTCCAAAATTTTGTATTTTATTAATATGTTCCTTCTTGAAGAGAATATAACCACAAAAAATATATTAGGTAACAAAAAAAAAAAAGCCATGAAAATAAAGAAATAAATAAAAATACTAAAACTGTTTGATCATCAATTCTTGATAAATGTGCGTTAAAATTGCTTTTGTCAATACAATTATATTTTACCTGAGATGCTTGGAAAACCATCTACAAACTAATCAACAATAAAAATAAGCAACACCATGTGCTGTATGCCAGAAAAGCACAATACCAAAAATATATTCAATTATTTTGTAAATAATAAATTATTTACAAAATAATTGAATAAATTATTTACAAAATAATTGAATAAAATAACTTATTAAAATTTATAAATTCAAAAGTAATTTGCATTGCTTTGAAAAGATTGCAGAAGAAAAATGCATTTTTTAGATAATAAAGC